CCCCCTTCCACCAGGCGTACGCCGCCTTTTTGGCAAGCAGGCAGTCCCGGACGCCCTTGGTGAGCCAGGGGGGCTTTCGGACACTCCTGCCCCCCTTGCTTCTTGTCGGGATGGACACCCCTTGGGCCCTGAGTATCGTTTCCTTAAGGAATGACCACTCGTCTTTGACACTGAGTTCCTCTGTCCTCAAGGACCCTAGTGCCTCTCCCACTAATCTCCTCATCTCAGTGAAGTTGGCCCTCCTGAAGTCTAGGGCTACCGCCTTCCTGCGGGCCCTTGACACCCTACGCTGGATGGCGAATTCCACCAAGCGTTGATCACTATTGCCCAGGTGGTCAAGAACTTTGAGGCCCCTTACCAGGTCGTCGCCTGCGGCCAGGACCAGGTCCAACAGGGCACCTCCTCTGGTGGGACTGTGCACCTCCTGAATCAAGTGGAGGTCCTGCATCTCAGCCAGAAACCTCCTGCTGTATACACATGCAAATAATCTGGTAACAGCTTGTTCTGGAGTTCTCTCAAGTAAACTCTTCTGGGCACTCATCTACTTATGCAGGGCTATGTATTCATGATTAGAGCAAATTACTGCACAGTAAGTGTCTGCACATATAGACAGTGATGCTTACTGTGCAGTAATTTGCCCTAATCTTGAGTAAAGCATCTTGTGTAGACACGCCTCCACAGGCACAGTTCCTGGCCCAAAGAACTTTCAATTTAAATACGTAACATGGAGAAAAAGAGAGGAAATGTAAACACAGAATCTTGGGCAACAATGCACACCAAGTCAGTGGAACAGTTGAAAATGAAATTGAGAATTCTTGAACTTTAGTTCAGTGATCTCTTTGGTGGACTGCATTGCTGTTGCCTCTTTCTGCTATGGTTCTCATCCTTTTTTATCTGTTCCACCTCGTACAACATTCTACTTCCAGCAGGGAAAGACAGACATAACTCTGTAGTTTATTATCTCTCCACAAAGGTATAATGATTACTTGCACATTGTAAAGTTGATTAATTTAATTCAAGAAAGAATTTCATGTCAGTAATGATCATGGATAATGCCAACATTTACATAAACATTCCAGTCCTCCTCCTACTGAAGACAAATGGTATTTTTCTGTAGATTTTAGTGGGAACAGGATTGGCCCCAACATGTTTTAAATTAACATAATCAATGCACAAAGTGTACCATGTTAATGACAAATGGGCTTCCCCAGACTCACAATCTGAAAATGTTAATTCCATAGTATATGTGTCAGCAGCGTGTAGTTTACAGTGATGCATTTGACTTCTTCAGAAGCTGTTTAAATCACAGCTCAATTATATGATGTATGTTAATGAAATTGTTTCAGTGCAATGTCACTTTCCTAGGCCTGTTGAAGGTAACGTCACTTTTAACTGAGCTACTGACATGCATGTGAGATAAATTATTAAGTATCAAAATAGCAATGAAAGTATGTAACTTGTTTTAATAGGCTAAAAATTCTCAAATAAATCTTGAAATGCCATATTAGAATAAAATTTAATATGATTATATTTTATAAAAATACTAATCTCTTTATATGGTCTGATATGCAGAACAACATTTGTCTATGCAAATCAGAAGCTAATGTATTTTTTTTTAAATCTCCTATTTTCTCTTAAGCAGGAAGTTATCTAACAAAACCGTACAGTAAACTTTTTCTTGAGCTTTTGAAGTGTTTATTGTTGTTACATTCATTGGAGCAAATCAAGTCTGCATTTGGAGATTGAATAATTAAATTATGGATGGTTGGACAGGTTTGTTCCCCTAAAGGCAGAGACATATGACCTGGCTTTCACACATACAAAATTTGATAATTAAATCAGAGCATATTATTTTGAGAAGTTCTCAGAACTTATTACCATGAGTTTTTTAAAGATTTCTTCAGCCATATAAAAAGAGGGGAAATGATATATTAATTCATGAATGATTAAGTTAAAATAAGCTAAATCCTTCTGTTAGAGAAGGATTGTTTGATATCTTTTGTCCTATGTAGTCTCTTTGCAAGTTGGTCATCAAAAGTTGAGAAAGAGCAAAGAGATTTTTTTTTAAAGGAAATGAACAGAGTTAATGTGTGTTGAGCACTGATGAGACAGCAGCTAGAGTACTGCATCCAGTTCTGGGTACCACAATTTAACAACGATGTGGACAAGCTTGAGAGAATGCAAAGAAGAGCCACCCATATGATCAGAGTCTTCAAAGGCAAGCCATACAAGGAAAGGTTGAGGGATCTGGGACTCTTCAACCTGAGGAAAAGAAGGCTGAGGGGGACCTGGTAGCAGCTTACTGCTACACTAGGGGAATATATCAAGGGCTCGGTGAGCAAATGTTCAGCAGGACACCTGAGGGGAAAACCAGGAGTAATGGCCACAAACTCCTAGAAGATCAGTGCAGGCTCAACATTAGGAAAAACTTCTTCACATTCAGGGTGTTCAGACTGTGGAATAAGCTCCCTCCAGTGATGGTGCAATCACCTACCCTGGAAATCTTTAAGAAGAGACTAGACAGTCACCTTGGTGTCACCTGACCCCCAATTATCTTTCCTGTTTGGTGCAACATGATGATCTTCCAAGGTCCCTTCCAGCCTTAAAATCTATGAATCTATGAATGACGAGTCCAAATTGAGTTACAATATATATGCATGTTTGAGATACTACTACTCAGCTTCTTTATATGACCTTTTGATGTGCATTTTTAAAATAGTACCTTTTAATTAAATGATTTTAATTAAAAGCATTACATTCAGATACTATATTTTGGGTTAAATCTACTAATTATTCTTTGAACCAGTGGTTCTCAACCTTTTTGTATCAGGAGCCATTTGTAAAAACTGATGGCCAGTTCCAACCCAGTAAATAACTTAAGTAGAAAACAGCCTTCTGACCCTGCTGGTGCCCCTTACTCCCAACCCACAGCCCCCCACCCCTCCAGGCCTTCTGGTGCCCCTCACTAGTGGAAAAATGTGCATCTTCATGGGGACCAACCACCTCTAAGACTCCAAGGT